ACCTTACATGTATATGTTTTATTGAAACCTCAAACATAATGTGCTATTCCTGTGATAAAATTTCAAGGTTTATCAATATTTTCAACTGCTACTGTATATATTTTTAGAAAAAGGTGGCGTATGTAAGGGGCGGACCAGGGGCCTGGGCCCCAAAACGGCCCAAAATTCTAATCACGTTCTGGGCGAATCTACCAATTTTTAGTTAAACTACTCATTTAGTCATTCCAGAATTTGTAAAGGTAATGTGCATGACTCAAGATTGGAAATTGTGAGGATTTGGGACTGAATCGTACCACCTTCAGCTTTAATATTTTGATAGTGAGAAAGCACTTGTTAGGGCTCTAAATGTGGGATTCTATGTCCAAACATTCCAGCACATATCGAGAAGCACATCTTTTTTTATCGTTTTACAAATAGATATCGATCTGTAGATAATAATATGTGTATGATTTGTCCAAACTTGTCAATGGTAGCCTCAAACATTTAGGACCTGTTTTTAACGCTTTAATAGTCATTTCTTATCGCATGGAGAGATATACATTAAATATTTATTTTGTGATGGGTCACAAGATATTTGTAAAGAAATGTATCTTGCCTCTTAAATAGAGGAAAATAAGTGTTAGGTGATTTTCTTTACGAGACATGTTTAATTTTTATCAACTTTCTTCTAATATTTTTTGAATTATGCAATACTGAAACATACGCGGTTTTCCTGCTGCAAAAGTAAAAGTTTATGTAATTTCTTCTGAAAACATACTTATGCTAATTCAATGCACTAAAGAGTAAACAAGATTCTTTACACTATTTTCACTCTGCAAATTGAAAATATATTTTCTCAGATTTCACTATGACATAACCAGCCAATCCAAAATTCTGAAAAAGAAAATAAAGAAAAAATGTATGGCGCGAAATGTCTAACTCAAAATAGAAGGTTAGATATTTCTTTACATTATGATGAGCATTTACGATATCGAAAAAACAAATAAATAAAATAAAAAAAATAGAGTATAGTACCTAACTGTAGTAGAAACAAATATTCAACAAAACATACAATATAAAATGATACAAAACCGATTAATAGCAATCAAGATTCAAGAGTCCCTTCTCTGATTTTCTTGCTTAATGAGAAATAAATCTGTGAGATAAAATATAAATTAAGCAAAAGTATCTTTCTTGAAAATGAAAATACAGGACAATTGGAAAAGTACACCTTAAAGAAACATAATAATTATGACCATGTAGTGAATTTTCAGATACATGTCTCTCAAAACTCTCTCATGAACATTTAAGATTTTTAGTTTTCTGTTAAGCTATATAGTAAAAATAAATGTTATGTATTTACACATTATGGCATCTTTGTATCCCATTTTCAATTTTCCAGATATAATAATAATAGGTCTTTATTGAAGAATACATTATAATATATAGGGTGTCCCGAAAAAAAGTGTGCAATATTCTACCAGCGGTTTCTAGAGCTTAAAATAGGAAGAAAAGTTTATGTAAACATACATATGTCGACAAACGTCCCCTAAGGGCGCTACGGTCTTTTAAAGGGGCTCCCCTGAAGATGGTTTTTCCTTAATATTTCCGAAACGTGTTGAGATAAGGACATAAAATTTGGTATTCTAGCCTAGTTTTTTATGCTGGATTTAAAAATATTAACAATTTTAGACAGTTTTGTTTGGAAGCGTATGTAACAGGGACGGACTCAGGTTATTTTAGCCCCAAAATTTTTGTGTGATTCTATTTTTGAAATTCAATTTTAGAATTTGAAAATTTAGGGTTTTCTACATAAAAAAGGTACTCTTATTGAATATCGATAAATTGTGCCATTTTTTAATAAAATCAAACTAAAAAATTTGTCACATGATAGGAAATGTACTGCGAATTTAAATGAATTGTTGATTATACATAGTTAGCCATGACTGCAAACAAAAGTTGTTTTGATTTGTTATGACTTATTTTGACGTTAAGCTGACATTGTTAGCAGTGTAAAATTACTAGATTAGAATCAAAATTTTTATTAAATTGATTTAAAATAATAAAAGATTTACAGAGAACTTACTGACATGCATTTTGTGTACGGGTTTTGCAATGGCAGTTCATTGGCAGCCGTAAGAGAATATCAAAGAAGATTTTCCAATCGCGTAGTACCTGGAAGTCGAATGTTTACTGATATTCACTGGAATTTGTCAAACCATGGAAGTTTTCAGCGCATGCAGGGCTCAGAGAGGCCACTGGGAAATCATCGTACGGATATTGCTTTAAATATGTTTGAAAATAATCCGCAAATACGCATACGAAATGTTTCAGAAATTATGGATATACCTCGATCAATAGTAAGAAAAATTTATGAACACCTATTTGATAGTTATCCTAAAAACAATAATTTTAGATAGGAAGAATGACAAGAATGCAAGGATTACATCCTTATCATTTTAAACGGGTGCAGCATGTAACGGAGGCAGATTTTTTACCACGAATCGAGTTTTGCCAGTGGATAAAAGCAAATGAAAACACTATTCCTAGAAAATTATGGTCGGATGAGTCAATATTTACTAGGAATGGTGCTCTTAATTTCCATAACATGCTTGACTGGTCAGATGAAAATCCAAAAGTTGTTCATACAAATTTCCAACATAGATTTTCATTGAACTTATGGGCAGGAGTAACTGGGGATCAAGTAATTGGGCCTATTGTACTTCCCAATCGTCTTAATTCAGAGGTGTATCTGAACTTTCTTCAGAATGAGCTCATGGATATAATACCATTGGATGTGCGCTAGCAGTTTCAAGAAAATATGTTTTTTCAACATCATGGCGCCCTTGCACATTTTGGATGCAATGTTCGAAATTGGTTGAATGTCAATTTTCCAGACAGGTGGTTAGGCCGAGGAGGTCCTGTAGCGTGGCCGCCACGTTCACCTGACCTAAATTCATTGGATTTCTATTTTTGAGGGTCATTAAAAGACCTAGTTTACTCGACTGAAGTAAATACTCAAGAAGATTTACTTCAAAGAATCCATCAGGCTGCAAATGAAATAAGAAGAAAAGGTTTTCCACTCTTCGGGCTACGCAATCATTAGTTCGTCGAGCGAGACAAAATGGGAATTTATTTGACCACTTATTGTAAAGATAGTTTTAAGTATATCCAACTGTATGTCTTCTTTTTTATACAAATTTCAATTTCGTTCGTAGAAAAAATTTATTTCTTTTGTTTTGCCTAAATGTTAGCTGTGTTGCAATAGAAATATGTATTTATGTAATATTTACCAATTATTAAATTAGTTTTTTCATCGCCATGGCTAATTATTCAACAATTCATTTATATTCGCAGTAAATTCCCTATAATGTGACAAATTCTTTAGTTTGATTTTATTCAAAAATGGCACAATTCATCGATATTCAATAAGAGTACCCTTTTTATGTAGAAAACCCTAAATTTTTTAAAATAGAATCACACAAAAATTTTGGGGCTAAAATAACCCGAGTCCGTCCCTGGTACATACGCTTCCAAACAAAACTGTCTAAAATTGTTAATATTTTTAAATCCAGCATAAAAAACTAGGCTAGAATACCAAATTTTATGTCCTTATCTCAACACGTTTCGGAAATATTAAGAAAAAACCATCTTCAGGGGAGCCCTTTTAAAAGACAGGGGGACGTTTGTCGACCTATGTTTATATAAAGTTTTCTTCCTATTTTAGCTCTAGAAACCGCTGGTAGAATATTGAACATTTTTTTCTGGACACCTTGTATAATGCTCTCCAAAGGTGAGTCAAGAAAAAAGAAATATCTCCACTCAACCTTCTTAAACTCTTGAGCAAGGGTGAAACAAAGGATAATTAGAAAATACACACTAAAAAAAAATCATAAATATATAAACCAACTATCCTAACATTTTCCGATAGCTACCCAAGAAGCAACTTTTTTACATGCTTCTTAAAATTAGTTATAAAAAACGATTTGAAGTTATCATCTACATCATTATATATTTTAATGGGGTTATATATAAATGACCAACAAAACAGTCTAGTATTATATAACCGAATTTGGAGTCGTTATTTAAACCTGAAATTGATATTGTTTCGTCGACGAGAACACAATTTCCTGTATAGGTAGGCAGGAGCAGCAGATCGTGAAGTTACTATTTGGTGTATCATGGTAGCTGTAGATTATCTATACATGTATTCTATGTGTAACCAGATTAGCTCAAATATTTTTGCTGAAGTTGAATCATACTTTTTTAGGTTGTCAGTACATTTATAAGAACTATTTTGAAACTTTTGTACCCTATTTTTAGTAGCAGCACCTAGGTGTGAGTAGTAAACAGCATTGAAAAATGAAATATAAGAGATTCACATAGTTTTTTCTGTTTTAAAATCCATAATGTGTCTGCTACTATAAAACCGCATCAAAAGTAGTAGCATTTTTTCAGAGTAATTGAAACATGTTATTTGAAGCATAGGGAACTGTCAAAAGTCAACCCAATTTTTTTTCTGTATCCACTAATGGCCATCAAGATCCACCAATAATGATATTCAGTTTGTACGTTGGGTTTTTATGGCTATTACTGGAACAAAAAATCATAACAGAATATTTGGAAGAATTTAGTTTCAAAATATTGTTATAAGAGTAAATTAGTATTTTATGGAGTTCATCATTATTAATATCCTGAGTTACTTGTGAAACATTAGATGGTGGGAAGGACTTAATTAATCGAGTATCATCAGCATAAGCTACAATCGATAACTAAAAAAACAGAAAAATTGATATCTGACATATAAACTTAAAAAAAGTATGGGGCAAAGAACGAAATCCTGTAGCGCACCGGGCGAGAAGAAACATGGTTCAAATAATTTATCATGTACAGATACAACTTGCTGACATCCTAAAAGACAGGTCAGAATAATGTAAAGACAAACCTAAAAACTATATGGAATATTTCTAAATATTTCATATATAGCTTTAAAAAATATGTATCTTTTTTACAAGTCTTACCTGTTTCACCTGTGGTGACAAACACTGGTGCACTCGGTGGCCCCCTACCAATATTATTGACAGCAATAACATACATCTCATACTCAGTGTATGGACTCAGGTTCCTGACAGAATAGTACATGGTAATAATGCCACTGATCTCACTGTATGCCTGGTTGGCATACTTGGGCTTGAATTGAATGACATAGTACTGCAGATCATCGGGTCCATTATATGACCAGGTTAGTCTAACTGTTGTTGCTGTTATTTCGGAGACTTTGACATTTGTTGGAGGTCCAGGCAAGGCTAAAAATGAAAGAAAAGAGTTAAAAGGTGCTATTACAGTGATTCTTAGTGTAGTATTCTCTATTTTAAGAAATTTTGGAGGGGCTAATATCATCAAGTGAGTCAGTATATTTTTTCAGTTTAAAAAATATGTTTATAGAAATTTTAAAAAATTAACAAATAAATGGGATGCTCAATATGAATACAACCATTATCAGATGGTTATTTGATTAGTCTTCTATCTGGCATTATTGTCACTACTTATTCCCAGCGACTGTTGTATTAATTTGATGAATTTTAGGGAGCAATAGTCTGTGGAACCATAGCATAGAGTGAGAAATAGTAAGAAAATGTACAAGAATTTTTTAACATCATCAGCAATAAATTTTGAGAAGATTCTGAAGATATGCTTTCAGTTCAGTTTTTTGTCTATTACCTGTTGTGTTAGCATTATTGACATTGCATAGCCTTAGAAACCACTGCAATGATTTTGTTCATTTCAGATAATAATATTCTGTACTTTAGAAAAAATGGGCAATCGGCAGAGGGGTATAGTAGCAAAAGCCTAATAAATTAAAAGAAAATTTAATTTGATGTTCATCAATAATGAATGATTTTGAAAAATCATACTCTCAGCTTAGTCTTCTATCTGTTGCTGTTCTTGTCACTGCTAAATATCAGTAACTATTCATTGATTTTGATGAATTTTAGGCAATAAGATATGATGAAGTCTAAATCAATATGGTGAAATACTGGGCATGGACTGAAAGAATAAGAAGATATTAAAAAACTTATAATAATAATAATAATAATAATAATAATAATAATAAATGTATTTTATTGTGTTTGAAGTTTAGCTTAAATATAACACTTATAAACATGTAAAAGTAATATAAATAAGTAGATAATGAAAATTAATCATAGATATGAATGTACTCTGAAAAGGAAAGAGTTTGCCAAGTGAGGGGTCAAACTATGCTGGAGAGTACTTTTTAAAATTAACTGTTTAATTTGTTTTTTAAATTCATTGTAATTTAGTAATTTCAATACCTGAAGTACTTCATTATAAAGTGTTATCATGTTCTATGTGAAGCACTTACATTAAACAATGAGGTTTTGTGAAGTGACAGTGTGGCATGTAAACCATATGTCTCTTGAGTGAATAGAATTTTGAAAGATCAATCACAGTACCCACTATATGGGTTTAGATTATTTTATGGAGCAATATTCTGTAGAATCATAGTATATATTTTTATATTTGCATTCTTGTTACTGCATAGATAATATCAGTAACCATTGCATTGATTTTGATCCATTTTAAAGAACAACATTCCGGGCTTTTGGAAAACTAGGTTTTGGTAGAGGAGCAGAAGTGAAAATCAAGGTGCCACACATTAAGAGACAATTTTCTAAGCACATAAGCGGACATTCACTATTTAGTATTGAGCATTATGAATAATCAGTAAGTCCAAAGTAAGGACTGTACTTGCTAGCATAGAAAAATAGTAACAGGTGTCAATAAAAAAAATGTGTAAAAGAAAATCCAACTTGTATGTTTACTACGGATATAAAAGCCGCATTGTAACAATAAGACAGTGACCTTACTCTAGCTCTTAGCTAGTTATTAATAGATTCATTGATATTATGACTCTATTCCTAGAATTTTAAATTCATTCATTCAGTATGAAATAAGTAAAGTAAAAAAGTCGTCATACGTACATATTCCGTGCACCAAAGTAAAATAGAATAAAATCACTGTGATATACATAATTCATAGATGCAGTTGCGCTCCTTGCACATTTAAAAAAATCAAGCTAGCCACTCCAAACTCCGAGGCACAAAAATAGTCTGTGTACTGCAACCAGTACTAAAATGCTGCATGTCATTTATACATTGTGGTATTTAGAGATTAGCGTTTCCGAGAAACCATCCAAATTTTGAGTGTCTCATTTATTTTCGGTGTGATTTTTGTGAAATAAAAACATCTGCCCATGAAAACACTACGCACTTGTAGCTAGTTAAAAAATCTACTGACTGAAAGAAGCAAAGATGTCAACAAACAAATTGACAAGTGACAATCTAGAAACGTCTGTTCGTTTGTACGTAGAGAAATGTTGGCTTTGCGACTAGTTGAGGCAGAACAGTGGCGGGGGGAGCAAGTAGATTAACTCGGTATCTCTGACGATCGTTTTAGCATTGATTAGCTTGTTCTAACTGAAGATAGCCAACCACAAACAGGAATCCAAAAGATATTAGCGCCATTTATGAGACAGTTGCTAAGCAAATGAATACAGAAATCGATCAAGAATATTTTGTGCGGTTGATCTTCAAGTATAGTATCCATTAGGGTGGAATAAAAGCCGATTATCTAGTAATACTTTCTCCATATCAACAAATGACATAATTCTGTCGTATCCGTCAACGCCAGATAGACGGTGCCGTATTCTATTTTGTTTTTCGTCACTACAGATTCATTTTGTACTTGCTAACAACTCTTTATTTGAAAAAGTTTATTTGCATACAAAAACTTAACAAGCACGTTTTAATAGATTTAGATTCGCAACTGCCAACGTTACAGACTAATATAAAGATGTCACTTGCTAGTCAGAAGTTCACATCAGTAGATGTCAAAACTTGATGGATACTCGTGAAATAGGATTTAGAATACGTTACTGGTATCTAAATCCAGTCGTGAATGGTCGACACGTATATACAATTGTCGGCATAAGTGACTGGCCTTACCAATGTATCTATGCTCGTTTTTAACATGAACCACCACGAAGGTCCAAGGTCTAATCATCAATCAGTACCGTGGGGCTGTAGGGGGATACAGGGGAGAGGGTGGGACGCCACACGTACTCTAGTGAGGGAATACGTATGCGTGTAACATGCACACATTCTCGACCCGTCTTAGAGATCCGCCGGGTGGTAGCTCCACGTTCAACAGTCAGACTATCAGATGCTTATTTTCACACAAGGCTTAAAGGCTTTCAATAGGGTTGGGTACCTTCTGGTGAAATGTGTTCGTCAATGCTTTTCCTACCTGAAACGGTACGTACCTAAAATGAAGGTTGAGGCTGGAACTCGAAATACAAATAAATGCACAAGGTAATTTTACCCTGGGTTTGAGGATATTCTTATCTTTTCCTTTTTGCTAATTACTCCGCCACCAATGCACTGAAATTTATCAGATACCCTCATATACACATTAAGAACCATGGCAACACTGTAATGATCTGTTCCTAATTAAGTTAGGTGTACAGATGAGAGAGATATCAATAGAACTAGCTCAAGCAAAAACAGAAACAGAAGCTAAGATATTTATAATATTGTGCAGAAAGATGTAAATCGAACAGAAAAGTGCATCTGTCTTGCAGTGTTGCAAATTGCAGATGTCAGCTGTACTGAATCAAATAAACAGGTCTGAACATTACAACTTTTTACCGATGCAAACTTGAATTTTGGAGAAAAAATCGGCAAGAATATAATATAATTGGTTCAAAACAATTTTAAGTGTAAGTTGAGTGATACTAAAGTGCAAATTCATTGATAATCACTTTGGTTTTTGTTACAGTTCCTGATACAGAAGGTTGAGGAAAGAAAAGTTTCAAAAAAACTTTTGCAAATTTTCCATACATGCGAAGCAGACGTGACGGAAAATGTAAGCATATTTTCTTTAAATCTATTTTAATATTCATATCAAACTATAATTACAGAAAGAAAAACACCACATTGAGATTATTGTGGAAGCCTTATGCTAGAAGTTTGTACACGGATCCTAATAGAATTATAGGATAAATCAATTCAGTTGTGTTTTCTACAGATTACGGAATAAAAAAGCAGATGCAACACCTTCCAAATAATGTAAAATGCTTAGTTTATATCTATAACTTTTTTGTTTGTAATCACTGTAGTCTTGCCATGTAGTAAGTTCCAAAAATTTACTATTGAAGTAACTTTCGACTTTGAATTTATAATTTTAGCAGTTTCTATACTTATATCAATTCAAATATGTATAAAGATGCAAAGCAAAAAAGTTCTAAGAGTTACATTAGGAATGATTCAACAAATTCAAGACATAGCCCTAGTGGGTCTTCAAATGGTATCAAACAAGGCCCTAGAGTTGGCCCTAACTTTCAACTAGGCAAAAAAATTGGTTGTGGAAACTTTGGTGAATTGCGGCTTGGTAAAAACCTATACAATAATGAACATGTAGCTATAAAACTAGAACCAATGAAATCAAAGGCACCTCAACTTCATCTAGAAAATAGATTTTATAAACTACTTGGTTGTCATGAAGGTCTACCAGAAGTTTATTATTTTGGTCCTTGTGGCAAGTATAATGCCCTTGTTATGGAACTACTTGGACCTTGCCTTGAAGATCTTTTTGATATGTGTGAACGTAAGTTTTCGTTAAAAACAGTGTTGATGATAGCAATCCAATTGTTGCATAGAATCGAATATGTTCATTCAAAACACCTTGTGTATCGAGATGTCAAACCCGAAAATTTTCTTGTTGGGCGAAAAAATTCCAAGAAAGAAAACACTATACATATCATAGATTTTGGCTTAGCTAAAGAATATATTGAAGTAGAAACCAATAAACACATACCTTATAGAGAACACAAATCACTGACAGGTACTGCAAGGTATATGTCTATTAACACACATTTAGGTAAAGAACAAAGTCGTAGAGATGATCTAGAAGCCCTAGGTTATATGTTTATGTATTTTCTAAGAGGTTCTTTACCTTGGCAAGGTCTAACTGCTGACACATTAAAAGAAAGGTACCAAAAAATAGGAGATACAAAAAGATCAACAACTATTGAAAATCTTTGTGCTGGTCACCCAGAAGAAATGGCTACCTATTTAAGGTATGTCAGGAGGTTAGACTTTTTTGAAACACCAGACTATGAATACCTAAGAAACTTATTCATTGACCTCTTTAAGAGAATGAGGTTTGTGGATGATGGCCAATTTGACTGGTCTGGAATCACTTTCACTAGAAATGCAAGTGGATCACTGTCAATAAAAACCAATGAGCTAGTTCTGTCTGATGACCAAGAAAGAGCTACGAGGAATAGCAAAATCAATGCTTGGAGGGAGGCATCCAAACACAGTACATTGGGAGGTCTGACTTCAACTGATAGGCAAACCAGTGTAGCAACCACCAATGATGGTAACATAGATGATCCAACAGGTGGTCAGAGTCGTACTCCTATAACTCAGAATTGTGATACTGATGATTCTGGTGATACTGGGTGTTGTTGCTTTTTCAAAAAGATTAAAAAGAAAAGTATGAATTTGAAATAGTTAATTGTTGACAATATTATGCATGTAACTTGGGTATATAGTTACATTGAATAAGCCCATAATGTCTTTTTTGTTTCTTGATTCTAACAAATGAACATGAACAAAAACTGCTTTCCAAAAATGAGTTGAGGAGCTGTGCCCAAAAAAGGATAAACTGTACTTTAATTTTTAAGAATACTCTAGTGATACTGCAAACTTTTTGTATATATATAAACCTGTACTTATACTGTATTTTCCTATATCTTTTAATAATTTTAAAATTGTGGTAAAATACCATTTTAGATCAACAGCATATTTATGTCAGCAAGAGCTATAGTTTTTATAAACTGTTTTTAGTCTACTGTCAGTTATGATTTGCTACCAGCATTTTCATGATCTGGTATGTATCTCAAAAGAATCCAAAAATTCCTTTTTGCACTTCTAAATACATTGTTGCCTTTATTATGAATTCTCGAATTTTACCATCTCTATTTGGAAATGTATTTGCTCCCCTCAAAAAGTACTGACTGATTATTCTAAAATAGCTTGTAACATTACATTGAATTTTAATTATATTGTATTGTAATTTTTGCGTAATCATCAGTTTTATAGAATTCGTCTATTTGTTGTGAAAGTGCGATAATGTTTATGTGTATGAAAGAGTTTTTCATTTTGCATGCCTGATATAATAAATAATTGAGGACTTTCTACATATTTACATTTTGAAAATTTTCCTATCTGTATATATTTGCTTCTAGGGGTTTTATTTTAGATATTGTATGAGGAGAAGACTACTATATTTAACTCTAGCTATTTTACAGATTTATAGGTTGTATGTCAAGAATAAAGACTTTTGTTGTACATGGATGATTTCATTTCCTGCTCTCCTAACAACTCTGAGATTCTGATAGATGATATAACAAAAACATTTATTACAGGATAAAAATCGATGCTGTGTGTGGTTACTGAGATTATGACGACAATCTGGTAACATGATTTTTTTGATTTTTACCCCTTTCCAAAACACAGAGTAGGAAACTAAATTTAATATACTCCCATTTTTTTAAATTTAAACCAAATACATACCTACTTATAAAAAACAATTCTCGTTAGTTTTAGTGCACATTTTAATTGTCATGATATTATTTGGCTTAGTTCTGATAATTTCACGTAAATGTAATCAATTATTATTCAACAATTATTACACAACTTATCTTCGTCCGTTTCTTTGCATAACAAGAAACAAAAATTGTTATGGTCTTCAATAACTTTGTTAATTACGGCAACTGTTAAAATTCATATCCAATCGATTATTTCAACATCTGAGTCCTGATATTCGTTTCAGGAAATTGTCTACAAGGTAAGTCTTTTTGTTATATGGTTTATTGCATATTTATAATTTATTGGCACTTCATATATTCATGTATTTATTCTACGTGAAGATGGCAAAACATATATTTACTAGGCTTTCGCCTTCAAAAAGTGTTCTGAAAGGGATAGCGCCATCGATAACACAGTAGCAGAACGCAAAAATAAATTGGGTCGCCCGATTCCAAAAAACTGCTAAATCCACTTTAGGACATTTTTCAGAAAACGCGAAAGTTTGCTACGGCGACAATATACCTAAGCAAATTAAGTAAGAGATCTGCTTCACCATTTAATAAATTTCAAACTCAAAAATCCAGATGGCTACAAATGTATATAATCAGTAGATAATATCATATACTTAGGACAATTATAATTAAAATGGAATATACATG